TATTCTCTAATTTTATTTCTAGTTGAAATGTTTTTCTTATTTTTTTTTCTATTTTAGGGAAGGAACAATTATAGTGGTTGGATTTATGTGATGTGATTCACAACTTCATTTTATTTTATTTTGACTTTCAATCATATGTGTCTAAAGTTAGGCCAAATATATGATTTGACGATTTTGCGCCAAAGAAAATGAATTTTGACCCATGCAAAGACATAACTTTGATAAAAGAATGTACGAAGTTAGATTTTTCGAGGTCATAAACTTCACTGAAATTGCCATTGACAAGCTATTATATATCTCGTGTTTTGTCAAGGCCATAACTTCAATTAAAAAAAGGGCTAAATTTGGCTTTATCAAATTCGCAACTCCAGTAAAAAGAAAATGTTTGAAGTTGACCTTGACAAGCATACCAAACTTCAAGCAAAATGTTTGATGTTTGACCTTCACAATGACATTTTCAAACAAATATGTTTAAAAGGAGAGGCAAATTCTCCTTTGAAGTTGTGCCCAAAATAGGTAAACTTGCAATAATAATTGACCATTGGATATAAATGATCATTCCAAAAGCAAGTATTTGCATACTTCACCCATTTAATTGTCATGTTTCACTATTCTATATCCTAATATTGACTATAAATATACTAATTAACTAAAGTATCCTTATTTATTTTTTGAGCAATTTTCATAAAGTACATTAGTATCGATGCTAATTACTCAACACATGAATAGTTTTATTAATTACGCGTCTTATTCGAATTGTCGTTAGATACATTATCTTTACGTGTATATACTGTATCTAGTGAAATGTCTTATCTCTCCTTTCTCGCTCCTTCTCTTGTCCCTGTACTTCTCTTTAATTATATTTTACAATTATTTATATGTCATAATTTCACGTATATGTGTATCAATATCAAATATGCAATGATATATCTATGTGTATGTAATCTCATCTTGTATATCTAGTATCAATTTCATGTATCCATCATAAAAATTCATTGATGTATATAACGTATCTTTACATAGTATATGTTGTGTATGTGCATAATTATAGATTAATTATGAAAAGGAACTAATATATCCAATGTATTTATACATAAATAAACTTATATGATATCAAATTTGTGACGTATCCAATATATCTAACAAATACTTTTAAAAAGATGAACAAGAAGATATAATTATAAAAAAAAAAACATAAAGTCACCATTGAAGTTGTCCCGAATTTTCAAAAAGACACCTTAACTTTGCAACCGTCTTAATACCCCACTAAACAATTTTGAACATATATTATATATAATTTTTCGATCATCCCCAATTTTTAAGAAGCAAGTGTGTTCACACATCAATCATTACATGACACGTGTTAATTTAATTTAAAATGTAATTTTTTTTCATTTTAAATTCTCTCTCTCTCTCTCTCTCTTTGACTTATTTTAATTTTGATTTCATCTTAAATTCCGCTTAATCTTTCACCCCCCACTTTCAAGTGTTCCATCCCTCCCTTTTCTTTCTTTTTCTTCACCTCCCACCCTCACCCCATCTCCCACGTTAAGTTGAACCCCTCTCCCATTTTTTTTCTTCTCCAGTCAAATTCTTTATTTCAGTAATTTTTTTATAAAAAAGAATTCATACTATTTTCTAGATTTTATGAGTGATAAACAAAACTATTTATTTTTCTAAGAAAATTTAAATTTTTGAAGGTATCATCAATTACTCATTTTCATGTACCTTCAAAATTATATATAATGATTTTAAAAGAATCAATGAATTCCCCGAAAATTGAAAGAACTTAATTGAAATCGGATTAAAAAAAAAGAGAAAATACATAATTACCCCATTAAATTTGTACCCTTTTTTTAAGTAGACACCTAAAGTTTGCGGGGGTCCTATTACCCTACGAAACTATGAATATTCACGATAAATACACCCTTTTCAGCCATTTCTACTGCAATTGTGTTCTCACAAAAATTGGGCTCGTGAAGGAGTAGTATTACAGCCCCAAACCCGTGTTAAAATACCATGTGGCATTTTTAATTTGATTTTTCTAATTAATAAATTAGACCCATCTTCCCCAAATCATCATTAATAGCCTTTTAAGAAGCTTTTTCAACAGGCCAAAAATTAAATTCTTTCTCAAATTTTGTATTTTAAAATGCGATACTATTAGATTCTATCTTCTTCTTTTCAAAACTTAACTAAATAATTTTTTCTTTCCTAAAACTTAAAGATCGAAAATGGTGATGCTAATAGAGAAATAAGGCAATTTAAATTTTGGTTTGATAGAACTTCTAATTTTCATATTTGATTATTTGTCATGATGTAGCAGTGATTAAGTAGTGCAATGATGGAGTGTTGTCACTATGATTTGTGGTGGTGGAATTCAAAAAAGAAATTTGAGAAATAGAGGCAAAGTATAAATTTAAAAGAGAAAAGAAAAGGAAATAAAATAGAAAATTAAAGGCAAAACTAAAAAGAATTAAAAGTTAAATAGTGAATGACAGGTGATAGATTAGGGTTAGTGCGTGATTTGCACCTGCCTTATTTCAATTGGGAATGACCAAAAAAGGAGGTATATATGCTACTTTAAAATAATTTTGTGGGGTAATAGGACTCGCACAAACTTTAGGTGTCTACTTCAAAAACTGATATAAGTTCGATGGGGTAATTATGTATTTTCTCTAAAAAAAAACTATATGATACTTCCTAATCATCTTGAAATCTAATGAGTTTATCAAATTATTCGAAATGTAAGAAGATATTCAGATAAAGTTTTAAAATTAAAGAGATTAAAACTAATAGTAGTAAAAAAAGGAGGGTAAAATTGTGGTAAAAATGGTGACATTGAAAGTAAGAAGCTTCAATGGAGATGATAATGAATTTTTGAAGAAGAAAGAAGAAAGAAAGAGAAAAAATAAAAAGGAAAAAAAGCAAAAATAATAAGAAAAATAAGAAAATATATTTTACAATAAAATACTTGTAAAAATAAAATTATATTAGTTATTTTAGGTTGACAAAAAATGATGTAATAATATTCGTTCAAGATTGTTTAGTGGGGTAATAGGACGCCCACATATTTAAAGTATCTTTTTGAAAATTCAAAACAAGTTCAGATGTCACTTTATGTCTTTTCTTAAATATATATCTACATGTTCATAGAGACAAGTGTTTGGTGCAATTATGCCTTAAACATAGGGAGGGGGACTGGGAAGTGGAGAGTGAATAAGTGAAAGGGGAGGAGAAGGAGTGAAACATTATGTAGTTATTTTTATGTATAATGAAATTTAGTAGATAAAGTAGAGATGTTTGTTCGATTAGTTTTTTTTGTTTAACTTAATTCGAGTTTTTTTTCCATTACAATTATCTCTTGACACACCTATTAAAATAAAAATAACAATTAATCCTAATTTAATTTTTGTAAAATGATAAAATATTTGGGACTAGATATTTTTAGTAATTATGAGAAGTAGAGTCGTCAATATGGGCTAGGCCTGTAGGGCCGGCCTGGCCTAACCCGTGATTTGATAGGACTGGACTACGATTTTTGGAGCCCATTTAAGAAAAGGGTTTTTTAGTCCGGCCTGAATAAGCCTGTCGATTTGTGGAGCTTGGGAAATATGGATAGGGAAGGCCCGTGGGCTAAAATAAAATAAAATAGAGTATTAAAAATAACAAGAGTCTAAACTCAAAATCTATTAAAAGATTGAAATATTACAATTTAAATATAAATTATATTTATAAAATATGTACTATATAAAATCAAAATTTCCTAAAATTTTTAGGGAATCACTACATAGGTTGTAACCTAGGGAATGTTGTCATAGTTTCTGTGTTTTATTATGATCATTGGAAAACAATTAGATTAATATTTCTATTTAGCTATTTGTGTTTTTACCTGAAATCAAACTTAATAAATATTATAAAGATAATTTTATTTGTTGATTTGATTAACAAGTAGTAACACTAACACTATGTAATATTGTCTTGTCGATATTTGTGATAATATTTTTAAATTATAATTTAATAATAAAAATAATAAAAAATTTACTTTAAAAAAAAGAGGGCTGGCCCGGCAATGTCCGTAGCCCACATACTTGTGGGTTGGACTGACCATTTTCTGGCCCACACAAAAAATAGGCTAGCTCGGCCTGACCCATAAAATTTCAAAGCCTGTCTGGGTTAGCCCGGATGAGGTGGGCAGCCCATATTGACAATTCTAATGAGAAGTAAATTAGATAAGACTGAGGTGTGTCCAGTGTGATACATTTTTTTTTCATGAATAATATTTTATTAGAAATTGTTTTCCAGGAAACAAGTATTTTATTTATTTATTTGTTGTGTTAGGTAGGCAAGCAACAAATATTATCTTTAAAATATTTATAAATAATCTAGACAAATACTATGAGATCTAGGGGTGTGCATTATTTGGATTAAATCGAAAAATCAAATTAAATCAAACCGAATTTTAATTTGGATTGGTTATTTATGTTTTGACATCTACAATATATTTACTCTTAAATATTGTGTTTTACGTTATATATATATATTCAAATAGTAACTATAACTTTGATTATGTTTCTCATTATTTCATAACCGAATAACCAAACCGAAAAAAAGATAAACCAAACCGAATCAAATTTATTTTGGTTCGAATTGGGTTACACTTCTTCAAAACAAAAAATTGAAAAATCCAAACCAAATAGTACAAAATCAAACTGAAAAATCGAATGCACACCACTAATGGGATGTGAAGATAAAGGGGGACTACAGAGTGTGAAGTTGAAGATGATGTGTGTTGGAACATGAAGATGATACTATCAATGTGAAATATCACTTATGTAACTTGTTTTCCACACCGTCATCCCAAAAATCATCTTACTCATTTTAAGAAAATAAATAGTTCTCACAAATTTTGATCAATCGAACATGAGAAATCAGGAAACACTTGTGCCAAACACACCCTAAATATTTTTACTTTCGGAGCCTCTTTCCTTTTCTGGGTTCCTTACCTTTTGGAGTGGGCCGGAGACCCGAGAATCCGAGGACAATTCAAAATTTTACTACTAATAAAAACCCCGCCCGTCTCCACATTCAAATTGAAATGGTAACATAAAAAATTCACCATTTTTCTCTTTCAGACAAATCTTCACAGAGATCGGAATTTGACCGGAAAATGGAACCAAAGAAACCGTCACAAACTTCATGCTCGTCACCCTTCCAGAACCTTCCACTTTCTTCATCATCTTCTGCTTCTCTTCTCAAAGACATCTCCAATTTCAAAACTCCGAAGCATTCACGGAAAGCGAATTTCATTTCTTCTTCTCCTTCTCCGTACCGACAGCCAGAGTTCTTCACTGCCTTGAAAACCACACCAGTATCCTCCGTCCGTCGCCGTGGAAGCATAAAGCCATCGGCTGTGAAGTCGAGTGCTGCTCGAAGATTAAAGGCATTCGAGCTCGAGCAGTCGAAATCAGCACGGAAGGCGTTGAATGACAAAGAGAGATCGTTGAAATCACTAGCGAAGTCGCTAACTGTGTGGCTCAATTTCTTGTTTGAAAATCCTAGCTCTTGTGGCTGTGACGTGACGAAGTTTACTGGAGGATTTGAGAGGTCCAATAGGACGTGTATTGCGGAAAATGGGAAGAGGGAGAGTGGGCCAGGGTACACTGTTGGAGTTGATGTGCTATGGAGAGGGCCGAAGAGACAGAGACATTTGTTATCGAATTCTGAAGATGAAGAGACAACAGTTATTTCGGATTCCATGTTTTCTGGACTTAAAGATTTGTTGATGGAGATTTGCAGTTTTGATGATTTAAAGGAGAGAATGAGTGCTTACCTGAGCTTAGGAAGCTGTAAAGAGGTCTTTGTTACAATGACTCAACTAACAAAGGTTAGTCCTGTTTTCTTACTAGACATATGTAGATGCTTATTTTGCCATTTAATCACCTTACAAATCCATTTTCTGCGGAGTGATTATACAATGCGCTTAATCTACATTACAATAATATGAGATGCTTTCAGAAAACTTTGCCTTCACAAAGTATGGTTGGCCTCAAGTTTGAACAGATGATGGGGTTTATGGGAGATTGAAGCTAAAAAAATAGTCTAACTGCTAGAACCTCTAGTTTCAGAGAGCCCTAATTCACCTTGAAGGCAAACTAATCAGTATTGGATGAAATAGGCTAAAAAGAGAACTAATAGAAATATTGAAGGTTCTATTTCAACAGGGAATAAAGGGGACAACACAATTCATATAGCCACGCCAACTAGTATGGAAGAATTGATTGATTGATTTGATGATGCTTTTTAAGTACTCTTCTGCTATGTTTACTCAAGGAGATGATAATGTGTTAGATATTGGAATCAAGATTTTAGACACCAACTAAAATCCTTTGAGACACAGTGCAAAACTGAAAACTGTAACAAATGCAAGCCTTAGGTAATAATTGGATGATTCAACCAAGATGTTGTTATCACAGGGTAAAATTTATGGCTACTTTACTATGGTTTGAATTATGGTTGTTAGTTAAAGTTTCTCCTGTTTTGGTTATCTTTTTTCAGACCATTGATGAAGGACGGCTGAAAATGAGAGCTCACTGTCCCATGGTAACTGATGTTGGAATGAAGGAGAAAGCCTTGAGAATCCTGATGTGCTATAACCCCACTTGGCTTCGGATTGGATTGCACATACTCTTGGGGGGTGACACCTTATTACCGAACGGAGATGTCAATTCTGAGCAAGAAATTGCTTTCTTGAAGATGGTGCTTGAGAGACAATTTTTCTCACATGTTGGTCTAGCAAAGACCTATGCTTATAACAAGTTAGTGGAGGGTTTATATAGACCTGGTTACTATGAAAAGTTAGGTAACATAGTTCTGAAGAGATTTTTGCTGCTTGTTCTCATACTAGATAGAGTCAAAACTCAGAGTAGTCTGCCACTTAAATATGGTATTGATGGACTAGATGGAGGATCTCCTTTACTTTTCTCTTTGCAATCAGATGTTAAATCTAGCCGTCAACTGATCAACAGTAATTACCTGTTTACTCTTCATAATTCTTCTTGAGTAGCTTGTTTACTCCTTTTTATTTTAACTCACGAATTAACATTTCTATGACTTAAATACATGTTAGAATTCTTGCCATCGGATGTGATGCATGGTGAAGGTAATCTACTTGCGCATCTTGTCATCGTAGGCTATAAAGTGACATATCAACAGGTAAGCATGTTGATTAATGAACTGAGTTTGATAGTGCATATGCTTTTACTACATGGTTGAGTTTTTCTGGTTACGGGGTCGTCTCTTGTCTAATTTGGACAAAATAGATTCCTTGTCAAGCAGGTTTTCTCTTGGATACCAGATTGTCTCTTGTTTTTTGTTTACTTTTACTGCATGTTTGATCCCCATCAATGATCAAACAAAAAGAAAACTTTTACTGCATGTTTGACATCATTCATATGTGTTTCTTTATAGGTTTTTATTGTGACAATTGATATTTCCTGGTGCAGAATCCGTTGCTTGAGTATCAATTTGATGTGGCTGATTTATTTGAGGACCTTCAAGATGGCATTCAACTTTGCAGAGTCATTCAGCTCTTGCGACATGATCCTTCTATCCTCTCGGTTAGCTTAGGAACAATTGTTTTTCTCTCTTCTCCTTTCTTATATTCTAGTTTGATTCTTTTTAGCAAAAAATTGGCATGAAGTGAATAGCTATATAAATTACATTAAAGAATAAATTAAAAATAGAGTTGTCACGAAGTGTATAGCTATTTCTCTTGATTGGTAACATAAGTCTTGTTTTTCTGTTCTATGTCAGAAAATGGTAGTCCCCTCAGATACTCGCAAGAAGAGTTTGGCGAACTGTGGCACTGTTCTACAATATCTCCAGGAGGCAGGTGTACCATTGTGTGATCAAGTTGGAACTATAATTATGGCCGAAGACATAGTTGATGGAGACAAGGAGCTCACCATTTCATTGCTCTGGAACATGTTCGTGCACTTGCAGGTAAAATGTAGTATTCCTAGTAATTATTCCATCTATGTCATTAAAGGCTAAAAAATCTAACCTTATTTCTAACGAGTTATGATCTATTACCTGGTGCTTTTGTATTAAAAAATATTTAGTTATGCAATAAATCCTTTCTCAGTTTACTCAGTTGTTCCAGTTTCCTTACTATTATAAAATCTGTTGTTAGCTGCAGGAATTATGAGACCAAATCACTGGAAGTTGAATTTTGTAGTCCTTTACTCCTTTTATATTCTCACGATATATTCTGTACATTCTGCAGTTGCCACTTCTAATCAACAAATCACTTTTGTCTGAGGAGATTTTTAAAATCCGAGGAGTTGTTAAGGTATGCTCAGTTTGGACTGTAGTTATTATTTGCATCTACTTTCCAGATAAAAAGCACTCACATAGAAAGGTTCTGGTTGAAATCAAAATGTCTTTTAAGAACTTAATAAGTCTATAATGTGAGTAGTAGTGGTGTAAATTGGGTAAAATAGGAAATCTGAACCTCTAGTTCGCAATACTGTTAGTCTATGTGTTAATGCTCATTGTGTCTAAAAGAGTGATTACTTTATATTCACACACTGAAAGTCCTCTTTTATAAGCGAGTCAAATTAGGTAATGCTTTTCATCTTTTCCTTTACAGCAAAACTCAAATGGCTGCACTCACTTGGACATGCTCCTGAGTTGGATCCAGGTATTGTTGTAAATTAATAAACTCTGTGACAATGGCAGTATTATTTTCTTTAAATCAACCCTGTGGTGATCCTAGTATCATTCTCACTTGGTTTTGTGATGATGCTTTCCCATTCTTTCAGTATATTGTTACTTGGTGATCTGAACTCTGATTATTTCACATATGGTTTAGTGATGCTTAAAGGTTGATTAGTTGACGTAGATGAAATAAATTCAATTCATACGGGGTGTGATTCTATACAGGCATTTTGAATGCACTATTCTCTTGGATTATCCTTTTGTCTCTTTTCTGGAAAACATAGCTCTTCAACTGTGATGCAAAGGGAACATACAGGATTTAATGGTGAATATGCCTCTGATTAAACAAAATGTAGTTAACTCCAATTATTTGGATTGTTTGACACGTTAACCCCACAGTCTAGATACCATATTTCCAGTATTTCTAGAGGCGGTAGTAACACTCACGCTTAGTTTTCAAATAACCTTGGCTGCAGAGTGTGTAGCTTCCACTGTGGAACACCCTAATACTCGTAAAGTAGTAGACTCATTAGAAGATTATTGCTTCCTGTATGATGAGGGTTTGGATTCTGCATATGAACGTGATCACTGAATGTTTCAGGCAATTTGTGGAAGTTATGATCTCGAGGTCGAAAATTTTTCATCATTGGTTGATGGAAAAGCTATGTGGTGCTTGCTTGATTATTATTTCCGCAAGGACCACCGCTGTTCCTGCTCTTATCAGGTGCTTGAATGTTATCCCATGAATGTATCATTGTTTAAAATTCTACTAATACAATTTTGCAGCTCAATATCATTTTGTGATGATATTACAGGCACTCTGTGAAACAAAAGAAGAAGTTTCCATAGAATAGGAGCCTCTTTTCTTGTGGCAAAATAACAATCTTTTTACTTAACAATCTTGTGGCAAATATATTATACTAAATACTTGCATCTGATGAGTTCTCTACTAATCATTATGATATTCACTTTTTTCTAGGGGGAGACAATATATCTGTCACAAAAGGTGTCGTCTCAAGGGTTGAACCTACACAATATGTGCATGGGGCTAGTCAACTATTGGCAATACAAATTGATGCGGCTATAAATCCAGGGAATAGCGGAGGGCCAGCAATCATGGGTGACAAAGTTGCTGGAGTTGCTTTCCAAAACCTTTCGGGTGCAGAGAATATTGGGTAAATTAGAAATTCTTTTCCCACTTTGTGTCTCCATAACTACCATGAAGATCTAGTTCCCCTGCTTCATTTATTGCTTGCTCTACCATATATTATTTAGTTAAATATTGATGAAGAATATATGCTAATATCACTAGCATTGTCACACATCAAAGTAACTCTTCTTTTGGTTAAAATTACACTCAGCTCCTATTTTTTATTTTTTTTTGATAAAGTAAAGTTGTATTCTTCAGCAATGAGGGTATGCTGGCAACCATCAAAAAGATTTACATCAGTGACCCAAAAAGGACCAACTCAAGAAATTGCTACTAAACTTATAAAGAAGAGAAAAAATTTAAAATCTGTCCAGCATCCTCTATACCCTCCTCATTACACCAAAAACAGAAGGTCTTCATACAACGCCATTTGATCTTTTGTACTGATTCTGCAGTATTTTCCATACACCTCTTGTTTCTTTCTCTCCAAATAGTCCACCATATACAAGAGGGTATCATGTTCCACCATTTCTTCTGGCTCTTACTCCCCCCTCTTCTCACCCAGCAACTAAGAAGGTCTGCAGTGTGTTCTGGCATTGTCCAGTTTGTGTGTGTTCTGCTAAGAAAAATGGCCCATAATTGAGCAGTGACTTTGCAATGGAGGAATAGATGGCTATTAGTCTCATTTGATTACACAGATGCAGTGCACAATTTTATTCTATCTCAAAAGCTGCCATTGCTATTGGGGAAGTTTCCAGAGGTGAATATATATATATATAATTCTGTTGTAATTCTGTTATAAGTCTGTAAGGATTGAACGATCTATAATTCTGTTATCATCTTATTAAAACAATTAGCAAATAATTCTGAGTTTTTCAACGCGATGCTGCTCCAAGTGTTGTTTTCTGAGGATGAAGTTTCCCCCTTCAAATAAGAATAATACTACAAGTACTTGATTTTTTACATAGTAAGAATATGCCAGATTTCTTGTTTGTCCTATAAGTGTTTCAAACTATTTACATGGCTTCTGCACTCACATATTAATCTGAATGAAGTACCTTCTAATCAAAACAGCATACATTCTTCTTTGCCAGGCAAATTATATGTTAAAAGGGCTTCTACTGTGACTAAACATTAACTGTGGCTCAAACAATTGTTATATTTTCCGGGATATCTCAAGTAGCAGTGTGTTGCAAGCATTTGCTTGTAGAGTTTCATGTATTGCATGCATTTGCTCCTAAAAATTTGAGGCAAGCAAGGATTTTCTACTACTACACACTCCACAGCTTGTTAGGGGAGCCAAGCCTATGCAAAACAACCATTATGTAGTTTACCTATGCAGTAATGCAGATACAATATCTGACAATGGAAGTTTGCTGGGTAGTTGCCCTCTTAGTCTTTTCGTGCCAGAAGTGCATTCTTCCTTATTAATCGATGTTCCTAGTGACTGGATATGACACTGTACATACTTCATATGAGCGTTTATCCCTTTCTATGTTCTCTAGTCTTTTGTTGAAACTATCTGTTGAACTGAGAAAGAGAGTCAATTTATAGAAATGACCCTGTCCTGACCTTAACCAATTTTTTTGGGATTCATTTCAAAAGTGGAAGAAACCATTTGTCTGATACCTTAATGCTTTTAAATACATTACCTTCTGGAGGTCACAATACCATTTATGCAATTCTATGAATTCGGTATTGTTGTTCACTTAATGATCTACCTTTTTTGTCAAATCCTTCAGTCCCAATTCCATGTCCATCATTCCCTTTTGGTTGTTTCTACTAGGAAAGTTAAGTTTTACTGCTTATTATGCAATCAGAATAATTCATTTGACCAAAATGATTTTCGTAGTTATTTTATTTTAGTGTGTCAATTAAGTAAAACCATGTCAAGCTAAACATCGTAATTCATTTCGGGGTGGCAGGAATAATCCAATTCTATACTTGTGGGAAGAAAATTGTATGATTGCAAGTTAAAAATGTATTTCTGCAGGTAATACAAGTCAGTGATATACTGGAAACAAACGGTGCATGCAATGGTCATAGTGTCATTATTCTCTTGGTGTTTCTCTCGTATCAACTACTAGTAAAACGAAACAAGGTAATTATTCATTGTAGATTATATGCAACAAACTAGTGTCAGTCTTCATTTAGGAAAGTCATGACCATTGATGTCTTTTAACAGGATCAATTAAACTTCCACAAGTTATTGGGATTTAATTGTCAAAGTCCCGAAAGGAGACGGTTAAGCACAGATCAGTGGTTTATGCATCCCGAAGCAGCTGTAGATAAAGAACAAACACATTGGAAGGATGGTGAAGGTCTCTGATGGTTCTTTAGAGGGATTTTAGTTTTAGAAAGTTTATTGTTTATTTATTTCATATGTTTGGCCAACAAATGACTTGAAACATTCATTAATATAGCTGTTTATATGAACTAGAGGAAGTAAATTTTTGGATAACACAACACCCAAGGGTGTGGCCTAGTGGTCAATGAAGTGGTTGAGAACCCTGAGGTCTCAAGTTTAAAACTCAGCGGAGACAAAAAACACTAGGTGATTCTTCCCATCTGTCCTATCCTTGGTGGACAAAGTTACCTGGTACCTGTTGGTGGTGGGAGGTGGTAGGTATCCCGTGTCCTAGCCTTGGTGGACAAAGTTACTTGGTACCTGCAAAAAAAGTTTTGGATAACACCATGCAGCAAAAATCTTTCCAAAACACCAAATGGTAGTGAGCACTGCAGACACTGTTTATATAAATTACAGAGAGCATAGTTTTGATTGATAACCATACAGCAGAACCCTTTTCTTGGAACCATAAAGTTGTCAATACTGAAGAAATTTTTGTTTTCCATCATATTTATATTCTTCTAGTTTCATCAAAGTTGGTTAGAATAAAGCTTTTTAAGTTTTAATTTTCTATTTTCAATGAATTTGAATTTTATGAAAAAGGTTCCCACTTCTTTATGGAAATAATTTTGGGTAGAGGTGATCCCTCTTCGCATGAAGGCTTCTCTCCTTTGTAACAGTTCTATATTTATGTCATTGACCTCCCTTTGAATTAATTTAATTTCATGGTCTTTATGACCTTTTTGATGATACAGATGCTGCCAGAAATTTTAAGGCTGTAATGGCTTGGTGGCAAGAGATGGCTCAACAAAATAACAAATGCTTTTCTAAGGAAACTTCTAGCGGTCCAAAGCGGTCTTTCATTTTAAGAGGGAGAAATGATACTCATAAAGGTAATCATCCACGCATTTTAGACTTTCTCTGCAATGTTTAGTCCTTCAATCCATTATAACTTGAGTTAAATGTTGTTGGCACTTGGGCTGCAATAGGTTTGATGCGATGTTAGCAACTTCTACATCTGACAACTATGTACTAGTGTGTAAATCTTTTGCTGTAACCAATTTTGGGGGCACGTCAATATTCCCTTAGATAGCTATTCTTCTTGTATATAACGACTTCGATGTAGATGTCAATCTTATCTATCATCATTCTTTGCTTTGTCATCTGAGGATGAAAATTTGAAATTATGCTTCGAGTAAAGTTTTTCTGCCCCTCAAGCCAGCTGAAAGATGTTTGTTTCATTGTTTCAGGAAATGCTGCAAAAGTAATACAGTCACTTTTCAGACAATCAGTGCAGCAACGTAAATATTTGAGGATTAAGAATGCGGTTTATATCTTGCAAGCTGCAATACAAGCATGGCTGTGGGTAAAGAAGGAACCATCAATTCAATTCTTTGGTTCTCCGGCATATCTGGCATCACTATGTGGTATATGCTTCTTTTTTTCCCCCTTTTGCTCAGTATGTTAGAATTTTAATCATTTACTGTATTGATACAAAATGAACAGGTACAAGGAGCCGTTCAGCAAATTTTGAAAAACACGCAGCCTTTGTGATTGATAGACATGCTTTTCTTAAGTTGAAAAGATCTGTAATAATCATCCAGCGTGCCTCAAGAGACTGGATTTCTCGAAAACATGTGACGGGAAACTTGTTGCCACAAGATTTGTCCACTCCAAGATTCATTGATGCTGCCATTGTCATACAAAAGTGTATTCGTGGGTGGATAGCGAGGTCTTGTCTTGTAAACACAGAACAATTTCACGAAGTTCCTAAGGAATGTGAAGATAATATTTGTCAAATAAATGCTGCGGTAGCAACCCAATGGGCTTCAAAGGAATATAAATTAAGCAGTTCTCTACACAGTCATCACTTTGCAGCAACTAAAATTCAAAGTTACTATCGTGGATGGTTGATGAGAGAGAATTTTGTGGATCAGAAGCAAGCAGCAGTAAAAATACAGAGTATTTTCCGATCTGCAAGATGTTTGAGGGATTTTCATTCCTACAGACAGGAAACTCTGTCAGTGATTACAATCCAGGCTTATATCCGCAAATGTATTGCTAAAAGAGATGTTTATAGGCATAAATCTCAAATTATTTTGATTCAGGTAAATATTTCTTGAAATATTAAAGGCTTAAGCATTGATAGATTGATTCATTTTTCTTTACTTCTGTGATTGGATCGATATTGACCTGCCATACATTGTACTTGAGTACACCTTTTAATTGGTGCTTCAGGCTTCTTAAGTCACTCAATTTGAAGTACATTCTGTTGAGGTCAACTTATGGTCAAAGGAATTAGGTGGTGTAGCTTCTATTTTTCATGCATTTGCCTTGTATTTTCTGGTAGTTGTATCCTGCATCCTTCAGAAATCATCAATCACATAAGGTGCAGGGTTCCAAATGTTTGTGACTCCTAGTCAAAATGCAGAAATTTAAGTATTTCCTTTCATGAGCAGATTATATTTCTATATATTGTTGAATCATCAGCCTAGAGGATAGGCTTAGTGTTTCTTCAGGCTTAAATAGCGTGTTTGCACCAGTAAGCATGAGGAGACATGTAGATAGATAAACCAGAAGCATTGTAAGCTTATCTAAGAAGATGTGTATTTTATAATGTTTATATTTCTAAACGTTGTTGCCTTAATTTGGCAAAAATGTTGAACTGCAATACTTTGTTTTCACACTTCTTGCTGCTATTCCGTCCTTACTTTTGCAGACAGTCAATTGTTGTATCATTTCTGGCCTCTGTATTGATAACCTCTATGGTTACCCTTACATGAATTACTCTAACAAGGATTGCATTTAGCATCTCATGCAACTTTATTATGATATGTCATTGTGCCAGAGCCATTGTCGTGGCTGGTTAACAAGGAGAAAACTGGTCATTGAAAAAGAGGCTGTTATAAGGATTCAAGCTGCAGTTCGAAGCCTGAAATACCAGAAAGCATTCCTTCACCAAAAGCACGCCATTTTGGAAATACAACGGTTTGCAAGAGGAGCCATTACTAGAAAGAGGCTCCTAGGTGCCTTTATTTTTCAATCACAAGTTTCATTATTGACCTTTTCTATTCCTGCTTATAATCAACATAATGCATGGTATTCCAGGGGCCTCTTGCTACCGTAACGTCTCAAAATTGGGTTACCAGGCTCTTGAACTTAAAATACTACTGCAAGCAGTAGTAAAGTTGCAAAGGTGGTGGAGATGTAAATTGCTTCATGCACAGAGAACAAAAGCCGCAGTTGTCATCCAATCGCATGCCTTAGGATGGATTGCCCGGCAACGTGCTTCAAGAAACAAGGAACGATTACTTCAAGCAGTATTAAAGTTGCAAAGGTGGTGGAGAAGTAAATTGCTTCATGAACAGAGAACAAAAGCAGCAGTTGTCATCCAATCACATATCCTAGGATGGTTAGCCCGGCAAAGTGCTTCAAGAAATAAGGACCAATTACTTCAAGCAATATTAAAGTTGCAAAGGTGGTGGAGAGGTAAATTGCTTCATAAACAGAGAACAAAAGCAGCAGTTGTCATCCAATCGCATGCCCAAGGATGGAAAGCCCGACAACGTGCTTCAAGAAAGAAGTACCTGACACTGTTAGCAGTATTAAAGTTGCAAAGGTGGTGGAGAGGTAAATTACTTCATAAACGGAGAACAAAATCAGCAGTTGTCATCCAATCGTATGTCCGAGGATGGATAGCCTGCCAAAGTGTTTCAAGAAACAAGCACCGAATTGTTGTGATCCAAGTAAGTTATTGATCTCTCTAATAGCACCGTGCTTTTCTTAACATTCTTGAGGCAACTTCTGAAGTTCAGATGTTATTAGCCATATAGAATGAAGCTCGGTGTTACATGATTAAGCTTGTACTGATTGTGCCTATACCGTAGGGGATCTGCTAGATCTTCTTGGATAATTTTCTTGTTTATGTTCTGAATATTTCCAAATTTATGTGGAGTTGAAGCAGCAGCATCTGCCTTTCTTTTTGAATTTTCTGTTTTCATGCTTTATTTTTCGCTATGCAGGCATACATGAAAGGATACCTTGCAAGAAAAGATTTAAGAGGGCAGCTTCTTGATTTGCGTCACAAAATACAAAAATCTGCTGCAAATGTTGATGATGGTATGCGCATAATAAACAGACTTGTCGCAGCATTGTCAGAACTTCTGAATATGAGAAGTGTCAGTGACATTCTTCATATCTGTGCAACTCTGAGTAAGTTTCTTGTGCATCTGGCACAAATATTGCTGATCATCTCTTGTTGTCAATGTCCATTTACTTACCAATGTTGACGTTATATCTCATATTTCATTGCCCTTAACTGAGTTGTGCGGTCTTGTCTGATGTATGTTGTCCTTTTATTTGTTGTGCAGCTCTTTTCTATAGAGACTGGACTTTAATTTAACAATAAATGTTAGAACAATGCATGTTTAGAAGATCATGAGTTTGCATTCAGTCAAGATTGTTCACCTAGGGATCACAAAGCAATAATTTCCTCATTTTTCCTATGATAGATATGGCAACACAACATTCACAAAAGTGTTGTGAAGAACTTGTTGCTGCGGGTGCTGTTGGTACATTGTTTAAGCTGATCCGCTCTCTCAGCCGGAGCATACCTGATCAAGAAGTTCTTAAACCTGCTCTCTCCACTCTCAGAAACCTTTCCCGATATCCACATTTGATTGATGTACTAATTGAAAGCTATGGATCACTGGAAACAATAGTGTCGGAGTTTTTAAGGTTTGCTATTGACATATTGAACATTAAAATAAAGTTTCCAATGCACTTCAGATGACGTAAGCTTTATATATTTCTGCTTTGCAAATGCTTGTTCAGAAACAAAGAAGAGGGATATTTCATTGCTTCCGATCTTCTGAAGAAGATATTCACAGAGAAAAAAGGTGTTGAAGCTGTGTGCAAGTCGCCTGCTCTTTTGAAGAGACTGCACAATCATGTGGAAGAGCTTTCAAGAAGAGCAAAAGCTGACAAGAGGTCTGCTCTTTAGTATACCAATCCCAGTTGCTTAATTTTCTTTCTCCATACATTAGATTATAGTGAGCTAATTGGACATAATTTACGCAGGACTAAACCTCACGCAATGAAAGAGCCTGTGGACAAAAGATTGAGAGAAGCTGTTGAGATATTGGAATTGATTAAAGTGTCCATGGGAAATCCAAGTAAACGACTCTCTATGAAGGTGTAAGAAATTTTCTTACTAGTTGGATAAAAGTTCTAAATCTTTCTTGATATTGCTATACATGCAATTTGTACATCATGTATAGCAAGAAAGACTAGAAACCTTTAATATCTGAATTGTGAAGAGAGCTTCACTTTATCTTTAACTTCCCATTCTCTAACACCATATCATTGATCTGACTTTTAGATAGTCCATTAGGGACTCTATGTGATTGTCTGAGAGCATCTGTTAGTTTTAGGATTACTGTATCTTGGCAGTTTAGTAGTACCTACTTTATTTTCAAGTAACTAGTTCCACTTATTTTCGACAACTACATATTATTTTTTAGATATAGTGCCAAAACTTACCCTGTTAATCTAATACTAGTAGAAACTAACCTCATTTATTGAGTTTGAATCCACTAAATAGGTCAGTTGCCTGGTGGGTGGCATTAAATCTGGATAAGATATTTTTGATTGCATTGATCATACTCCGTGTGTGGCTTTTGCAAGTTGCAGTCTTTTGCTTAAAATCATGCAAGTTGTAATTTTTAATCATCTGGCAAGGGCAAGTTGCAGTTCATTAAACTAAAAGTTGGTTAAAGTAGACGTGAAGTAAAGGGGCCGAAGGGCCCACCTAGTGGCTACCGTCCCCAGCTTTATTTAGATTCTATGGCCAAAAAAATATCACCACCCACCTACAGTTAAATTCTTGTTTAGCCCAAAATTTGTTTATTGAATTTAGGTAAAATAATTCTACCCTCTTATCTCACTCTTCCATTAATTTTATTTGAACAAAAAAAAAAGTGAAAGTATTAGTTTTAAAGAGTCAATAGTTTAAAATCCATATTATCGTCTTCCCTGCTCCCTCGGTAAAGATGAAGATATTTTTTGAAGCTTCCAATGCTTTTCTTCTTAATTAACCAAATTCAACTTCCAATGGTGGTGCATTGAATTCTGAAACTATCGTGCCCAGATTTTCCCTGGAGATACTAATGCATAAGCTTTGGGGCGTGTTTGGTAAGGAGGAGAGTATTTCAAAAAAAAAAATCATGTTAAATTTGTTTAAATATGTTCTTCTAGGAAAATAAGTTTTAAACATGAGAAAAAATAATTTTCTAAATGAAGAAGAAAAAAACAAGTGACCTTCAAATTCATTATTTTCTCTCCACCTACTCAATGCCCCCCACAAACCCCTGATTTCACCCTGATAATATTAGTTAAATTATATATAAATATTTAAGATAATAATTTAGAATGCACTTACCAAATATTAAAAATAAATAAGAAACTCATATATTTTCCGGCATGAAACACACCCTTGGTTTTTGTTCTTTTACTTTTAAATAAAAATGGGAGGGTGGAACATGAAAAGGAGAAGGGAAGTAAAAGCAGGGTAAATAGACTGCACTCCATCCTTTTGTTACAAATATAGTATTTTTCAAGCTCAAAAGTTTTTGGAATGACAGCAAATTCAGTTTAAGGATTACCATTGATCTAACTTATGTACATAATCTCAAAGAGAGCACAATCTTGAAACCCCCCTCCCTAAACCCAATAATAATACTAATAATAATAAGATTAGGTATTAATATCAACCAAATCTTGTTTGGAAACAAAATAATCAAGCAGCACTAGCACCAAGATTCACTATGCTTTCTGGCAAGTCATCTGGTTCAATGAAAAATCCCCTTCTCACTAGTGTTCTTGGAACTGTGACTGTCAAAACACCATCTCTATAACTAGCAGAAATTCCATCCATATCCACCATTCCAGGTAGCCTAAATTTCCTCATAAAGCTCCTTATTGGCTCTGTTGTTTCATTGGCTGCTTCAGTTCTTATTATCAGATAGCTTGAATCCTCAACTTCCACCTTTATTTCCTCTTTCTTCACACCTATCCAAAAAAAATATAACATCCAAAATTCAAGAAAATTAATACCCAATACAGAAAAAGGCAAAGGGTGTCCAAAAAAGAGTCACTTCAACTAGTTCAACACTATTTTTTTTTTCTGTGTGTGTGTGTGTTTACCTGGAAGATCAGCAGAGTATATGTGAGATTCAGGGGTCTCTCTCCAGTGAACATAATTCTCAGGAATGAACTGATAGGGAAAAAGGAGAGGAGAGGTGAAAAAAGAATTCCATGTTGAGGGATGGAAAGTTGAGAATTCCATTTTCTTGGAAAGAAGAAGAGGATTTAGGAGGAAAAAATGGTGGCTGCAAGAGAGGTGGTTAGTTGGTTTGGAGGATGAAAAGAGAGTTGATTTTGTCCTTATATATGCCTAGCCAAGTTGGTGGCATTGCTCATCTTATTATACTTTTTATTTTTTTTAAAATGATTGGCTTCTCAATTCTTTAAAGGGAAAATGCAATTATATCTATCTTGGATAGAGAGATACATGTGAGTTGCTACTTGCTAGTTTGGGTATCAAATAGTAAAGTGACAATTCACCCCAATTTAACTGTGATAGTCTACATTTCTGACAATCTTCTTTGCTTTGGTAGCAAAAAAGAAAATACTCATTTCTATATTTAGTATGAGAAATAATTTAATTTTAACCGTTTTATTTTATAGTGAGATGAGTTATAACCACATAAATATTTATAATTTATTTTATATTATTAATTTCAAAAGTCTTATTTCTATTCTTACACTTTATATCAAGTAAAATATCTTCTTTAAACATCTCACTTTAATTAACATTCAACTAATTAAAGTAACAAAATATATTTACGAGGAAAAAAATTGTCACGCTTTACTAAGTAAGGATGCGTATGTGCATGACAAAAGTTACAGCCGCCTGATATTTTTATCAATTTCTTAATTTTCAACTTCCAAAGTTTGGTTTATTACATTTTCACATGTCCAATATTGATATGACAAGAAATAATAAATACTTTAAAACAATAATTTTAGTATATTACTTTTGAATATAATAATTCAATATTTTAGAAAAATGAATATAATTAATAACAAAAATAAATTAAAAGTTAAGTGAGATATTATTTGTCAATTTTTTAAATTGAACCGTAGAAGTGAACAAAAAAAATACAAATATAAGAAGAAAAAACAACAGCATATAAATGCTGCTATCGTCACTGATGGAAGAAGAGAGCCAGTGTTATGCAATTCAACAAACTCAGCCTTACATAAGCAAGGGATTATTGCTTCATGTAGAAGTCATGTGCTTTATCAAAACGTACGCTTCAAACAAAGTTTTTTTTTTTTGGTTTTCCATCCGGTGTCTAGAGCCCACATTAGAGCTCCGACTAAATCTGAATCGCGCTCTGCAGGGCCCATTCAAACAAAGTAAACCTCATGAAAGCTATATATATATATATTATTCCCCGTCTACATTACGTTTTTTAAAAAATAATAAATGATATGAAATGGATGTAAGATTAAGTGAAATAATTCGTGTGATAATTCATATAGCTAACTCGAACATCTAATGAGTTTAGGATTGAGACATAACTATTCTTATTGTTGCTAGTAGTTAGATTAATAGTTTTAATTTGATTCAACTTATTTGTGTTAATGTCAAATCTAGCCAAATATTCTATTATCACATATATTATACATCAGTCTCATAACCAGTAAAATAGTTAAGGTGATACATAACAATTACTTAATGAAAGAAATAACAGCCAAATCATATTGATTGAAAGCAATTTACAATTAAACATTTCTTTAATAAAATACCCTAGATCATTAATATATAACTGAATTTTTAACAACAGTATGCAAGACATGTGAATTACAATATCAATATGGCTCTAGTGGATATAATTACAAGATAGCTAATATGTAAATTTGCGGTGCAAAAAAAAAACTATTTAACATTAAACATGAAAGCTCTAATTCGTTGGTGAAATAAGTCATCAAGAGCTCCACCCTAACTTCAATAGCTTCCTAAACCACAATTCAACATCACGATAACACGAGGAATCGATAAATAATTGATTTCATCCTGATAAAGATCCCTTACAAGATTTACCATCGAGTCTAACAAATGGAACAAAACAAGTTTGATGAGCTTGATAACTATCTCGATAAATGTGAGCTTAATCAAGTTGAATTAAACTTTATTTAAATTGAGTCAAACTTATATAAGATGTGGTGGATTTAGATTTTTCAATTAGAAGATCAAAAAATATTAGAGCTTGACACGCAGATTCAATATTCTCACCTTTTTTGAGACTTCAAGTACTTCTTTTTCCTTAACTTTTGAAGACTTAACCCACGATCTTTAGAAGTCTTACCTCACTCGTGACTTGTACTATTGCCTACGACATTTGAGGTTTGGATTTATTCTTGTCTTTGCCCAACTTTGAGGCATGCTCTCCTCACGTCAAGGAAAACATAATGTTCTTGAATGTATATTTTCTTGATTAGTATTCCATACTCAAATGTATTGTTGGTGTTTCTTTGACTACTATATCACTAAATGAGACACGTTCACAGAGTTGGAAATACTAATAATAAAGCTTGATTTCTTACCTTAATACATGCGTATTATTGTTTAGAGAATTCAAATTTATATATATAGTTTCATGTAAATATAATATTATAATTTTTTGATTGAGCGATTCGAGTAAACACCTGCCTCTGAATATTAGCTTTGATCAAAATTAAGTTATGTTTTAATTCAAATTTAAATCCAAATCCAAATTTATAAGTGGAGATGGATTCAAACACTTTTAAAATCATTTTTTTTTTATATATATGTATATATACAAGATTTTCCCCCATATATATATATATATAATAGTTAACATGTTCGCGCTTCGCGCGATCATAACAACTATTTTAGAGACAAAATTTTCTTATAAAGTAGCACATACTAAAAAAGAAGAAATATGATCAATACTTAGGTTAAAACTGTAAAATGTTTATCATAATTGTTTTAATTTATAAGATACAATTTTCTTATTCTTTTGTTGGGGTGAAAAAACATGTTTTATATTTTGAAAAAAAAATACTAACTTAATTTTCTATTTGCCGTTGATTATAAAATGAAAAGCAAATAATTCATCCTCCTCATTTTTTAAAAGAAGGGATGCTTATTTTTTATGAGGAACTACTGAACTTAGACCTTTTTAAAATCATTCCTCAATATGATTTATTTAACAAAAAAGCATACTTGTTAGGTACGGAATATTTTTTA